GACCATGTGCACCAGCACCAACTGGACTCACACCACCCATCCCATGGCACCTGCACCCATGCCCGTTCCTCAAATGGTAAAATAAAGGCTACAGTTACTTTTTAATTGCCTGCAAGAGTTTGTGCTTGTGTCATCAAGGTCCTGTGGTTGCACTTACAGTCCCTCTGACACTTTTTTTCCCCACTTCTGCTGCTTGATTAGACGTCTTCTCAAGACAGTATGGGTGTGAAGGTTTCTGCTTTATTAACAGTTTCTTCAGTCTCCACTTAGTATGGTTGGTTAATTTGGGATTAAAATATAATTTCACATATAAATTCTGTAAACCAAAGATAGCTATAAGCGGACGAGGGATCCTAGGTGAATTTCTAAATGGATGGGTTTGCTCCAGCGCGATGACCAAGAAACTGAAAAGGTTTCTGGCTTCCATGCTGTTTAGTCAGTTGCTTTATCGCTCATTAGTGTTTCCCTACTGGCCAGTAGACTTTACAGTGTGATAAGGTAATGAAAACAAAACAGATTTTTCTTGGCGCTTCTGAGTTTTTAAAACTGGAACCCCAAAGCCTCAGCTTTTTTAAGATAATGATAAAAACTGACATTGCGCGCAGTTGGATTTTTCTCACAAAAGTCTTTATAGATGTCTAATAATTGTGGTCATGTGAAAGATACCAAGTGACCACTGAGAAGATTGGCAGTGAGGCTGTATCCAGCTCTTTCAATGCATCAGTACTTTTGAAGGAGCTCCCAAATGTGTCTGTGCCTTTTGTGCTCCATGCCAATTATCTACACGTCTCTTCAATTCAGTCTGGTTTCATCCTTTTAATTTTGGACTGATTGACCTCTCAACTCAAACTGCTCATTTTCTCAGCAAATGGTTTGGAAAGATGGTGGCACGCCTTGAATGGAAAGTAGATGATTTTAACATGAGGAAAGTGCAAAAAATTCCGCTTTATCTTCTCTGCCTGTTTGGAGAAAGAGAACGGGCATGGCTGTGATTGTGGTATGCGGAACTATTTTAGAGGTCTTTAACTGTTTTTCTTTTCTCTCTTTCCTTTAACTCGACAGAATGGGATGATCTATACTGGCTATGTAAGTTTCTTCAGCCCCCTTTCCTTCGCTCCTCGTTTTGTCCACGACATCCTCCAGAACTGCACTGCTTTGCTTTCTTAATCATTTTCCTTATTGTACTGTCTTAGAACTGTCCTTTTATCCCTTGTGGTGTCATCTCGATTCAATTTTGTTAAACGTTAAAGCTGATTTTGTTTCCCAAGATCTTGTAAAAGCCGAATAAATGGGAATATTTATTTGGCATAAAAAAACAAAAAATGACTTTCTTTGAGGTACATCTTTGACAGATTAGAAATTAATTGCCCTAACAGAATCAGGGTTTATTTTAATTTATTTCTTTTGGTCACTATTAAAAAGTATTGTGCATTACGCCCCTCCCTGTTTTTCTGTACAGGCTCCAGCACCAGTGGCTTTTCCTATGACGACACCCCAAGTGCCTGTGTATGGAATGGTAAAGAACAACTTCCAGTCTTATCGTGGTCTTGCAGTCAGAGATTTTTAATTTATCCAATAAATAGTGTTTATTTTTATTTTTTTGTCTCGGTTCATGTTGCTCTGTTTACTGCCCACCTCTTTCGCTCCCTCATACTCTTCTCCTTCCCTGCCTGCTCTCACCTGTGCTCTGAGAAGCTCCCTCCTCAGATGAATCATCAGATGGGGGGCGTTCCCATGATGCCCCCACAGCATGTCATGTATAACCAGCCTGTCCTGAGACCCACCAATCCTTTTGGACCCATCCCAGGAACACAGGTAACATCAGCCCTCACAAAAACAAGCAGAAATGTTAATGAACATGCCAGAGAGCGTGGGGACAAGAGCATAGCATATGGGCACTAATGGGATCATCTCAAGTAGTGCAATGGTAGTACGCAGTTGTGTTGCACAAAGACACAAGTTTAGTAGTTTTGCCTCTGTACACCACCACAGTGGATTTTAAATCAACCAATCATGATGTGATTGAAGTGTAGACTTTCAGCTTTAATTCAAGGGGTTTAACAGAAAAATTTGACAAACTTTTTTAGGAATTACAGCAATTTTTATTTACAGATATTCTCACATTTTCAGAGGCTTCGCATTAATTGGACAGTTTACTGTTTCATGACCGGTTATGCCTACTTCTTTGTTCTTGGACAAGCTTTGAAGACACAATATCTGAAGTGTTGATTTTTCACTGCACTTTAAATATGAGGCCCAAGGAGATATCAGCGCAAGTGAGGGACATCATCATTAGGCTTAACCCCCAATCAGAGACACGGCAAAAACCTGGTATATTCTTAAAAACCATGAATTCACCAGCTTAGCAACAACAACAAAACACCTGAAAGAACATTGAAGATTAGTAAACAGAATTATAGACAGAATTATAATGATTATAATCATATCCATGGTTAAGAAAAACTTCAGAATCTAAATGTGTTAACAACACTTAGGTGTTGGACATAGGTGCATCACTGTCAAGGTCTATAATCAAGCGATGGCTTCATGAATGGAAATATAGAGTTTTTGCAAAAAGGTGCAAACCACTGGTTACACTCAAAAACAGGTAGGCCACATTAGACTATGTCAGAAAAAGAGCCTGCACAGTTATGAAAGAAATATTTCGACAGGTGAAACCAAGATGAACTGGCTACCAATGGAATCAGGTCACTAGTGTTTAGTGATGATGTAACTGCAGATAGAAGTAGTAGCATGAATTCTAAAGTGCACATAGCTATACTTTCTCTATACTCTCTCAGATTGCAGATCTGACTTCCCAGTGCAAATGATCCATAGCATACTGCAAGAGCCACCCAAGAGTTTCTCAATGCAAAGAAATGGGAAATTCCTCAACAGTGAAGTCAGTCACCAATGAAGTATATCCTATATATACACAGCATCCCAGCTGTTTTGTGGCTACATCGATGTAGTTAAACGAGCAGGCTGGGGCCGCTGGTTAGCTAAATCGGACTCCAAATTATCCAGCAAGTAATGCCCCCACAATCCCACAACTTGGCATCAAATAAGAAAGAAAATGTTAAGCGATTTTCTTTAGGGTTATTGGTGTGCTGTTTTTTTTTTTCTTTGCTTGTATTTTTTTACTTTTGTTTCTGCTCTTAATGCTAAGGTAAGCTATCCAACTTCTGAAGAAGTATCAGTGTTCACATGCAAATCACATGTCAGAAAATAAGTGCAGTTGTCAAGCTGTGCATTCCTTTGTAAACCATAAATCAAACATGCAGCTTGTCTGGGTGCTTTTTTTGTATTTTTCTTTCTCCTTACACTTGACCAATTACAGATAATCTGACACCACGCAGAGCAATTTTGAAAGCAGTCACAATACAGTTGGGGAAAAAAACTGCCTTGTTGAAGCAGCAGCAGCAATGCTATTACAAACATGACCAATAAAAAAACAAAATGTTTAGTAGGTAATAAGGAGGGTGTGTGGATGGAGAAACTGCCCAAACGAAATCATCTGCAAATATTGGACAGCTCTAACATTTATGGTTTTCAGTGCGTAGCTTCTGAGAAAAGCAGATTATTGAAGCAGAAACAGATAAAAGAGAAAACTGGGAAGTAATAGGAGCTATTTAAATGATTTCGGCACATTAACGGGCTGCATTGCACATCTTAAACCGATGTGTACCAGCACAGAAACAACACGGGCAGAATATTGCTTTGGTACAAACACTGAATCTGTGCCTCTTCAAGTCCTCGGGAATAACAGAGGCCACTCGTTCATAGCTGTTTCTCTAGGGGTGATTAGCAATGTTCAAGTAGTGGCTCCATCAAGAGTCTCAATGATGAGTCATGTTGTCAGGTAATTTAAAAATTGACCAGGAAGCGTGAAAAAAACAAAAAAGTTCACTGCGAGCAATCATCAGCTGCAAAGGTTACAAGACTCACAGGAGCACAAACGATCAAGTATATTTTGACCAATTATTCAAAACACAACAGAGTAATATAATTGTTTACTGAACAATCACCGCTCCGAGGTGCTGTTTTCTTGGCACTGCGGCAGCTAATACGCTTGTCAATAGATGCCTGAACACTTGATGAGCTGTTTTGTTGAACTAAATTACTCTTGCATGTCTCTCACCCCCCCACCACCCCGTCCTCTGCAGATGCACTTCATGTAGGGGATGATGTTGTAACCATGGCAGCAAAGCTGGGAGAGAGAAGGCGAGAGGAAAGAGACAGAGAGAAAGAGTCGGCAGCGAACGCAAATCCAGAACCAAAATCCAGCGCAGGGGAAAGAAAGAAGAGGGCAGAGAGGAAGAAAAAGGGGGAGGGGAGGGGAGAGGACGAAGGAGAGAGGAGGACCAGAGGATGGATAGAAGATGAAACGCTGATGTCAGTTTCCATGTCACCTGACCCTCTAATCTCCTCTCCTCTCTCCGTGTGGCTACTGATCTCTCTGTCTTTGAATCTATAGTGCTGGGGCACCAGAGGCTCTGCATTAGTCCCATTCATCCTCTGCTTGATTTGCCAGTTCAAATGGCAATTACGACCTGTGATGACACTATGAGGACTGACAGCTCGTTGGAAGTGCAGAAGCTCTTTTGCCATTTCCCCCCCGCCCCTCACCCCATCATACTGATAATTTCCTGTATAAAGGCTTACCCGCATCTCTCTCCATCCCTCAGCTGAATCAAACTTGGAGGACACGTGTCTCTTTCTCTGATTGGATCGTTTGCTGGCACTTTACTCTATGTGACCTTTGCCAAGGGTGTATTTCTGTGTAGGTGATTTTTAGCATCTTGTTCCGATTGGTTCCCGGTAACGTGTCATCCATCCATCACCCGATGTCAGAAGTTATTGATTTGAATGCGTGCGTGTGTGTTCGTGTGTCTGCGCGTGCGAGCGTGTGTTCCTTTTTCTACATTTCAGCGTGCTGCATCCACGCATCCATTTGAGTCTTTTTATGAGCTCCATTTGTTCTTAATTGCCAATTTCACAGAGAGAATCGGGCGTAAAACAATTGGCACGCTTGTGTGATTGTGGATGGACGTGGAGCTGTGTAGGGTGTGCTACAGCGTGTGTTTCTCTTTTGGTACCTGATGTCATTAATGTGTTGCCAGGTACCAACATGTTACTGCACTGGAATTAACTGATGAAAGCACTGAGCCAGACCCAGGCATCACATTTGGATGTAAACAAACCTCCGCTACTTGGGGACGTGATGTACACACTGTGTTTCGTTTCGTTTTTTGGGGGGTTTTGCCCTCTTCTACAGGCGTGCAATATCATGCAATCTCATTATACACCCATTTGTAGCCCGGTTAGAAGCCTTTTTCTGCTGTAGTGTCAGAGTTCCTGTATGTCCACATGAGATTTCTGTACAGAATACTGTGGATTTTTTTCTCGTTTTCTAAGCTGTTCTGTTAACAACTGAACTGCTCTAAAAGTTGTGAAAAATGCACTGAGAGCCACACAGGAGGTGAGTTGACATTAGGTGAATTTCAATCTAGCAATCAGTAACGGTCAAGCTCCCAGCTGTATGATATCCTCCCTGTCCTGAGCATTTGTCCTGTCCAAAATTATCTCCTGTCAAGTCCTTATCACCCCCACCCTACCCACCCCAAAAAATAATAAAATTAAGAAAAAAATGGATGAGGGTAGAAGTCTCACCTCCACTGGGAGGATTTAAAGAGAGACACTGAAAGCGAGTTATTAATGTAGAGTGGAACGTTTATGGACAGGACAGCTAAAGGTCAGTCTGGAGCGTCAAGTGAACGACAGCAGTGGAAAGCAGCTGAGGGTAATGTCTGTCGATCACGGCCCGAGCAAAGCCCGCAGCGACGGCGCGCAGATTAATTCGGACAGCCAGAGACAGGGAGGCTCTAATGAGACATTAAATGTTAATGTGGATTTTCTACGAGATCCAAGGTCGAGTTAGACTCACAGTTAGATGATATATATAAAAATATATATAGCACAAACCTTCAAAGAGGGGACAATGCTCTGCTGCACAAAAACCTAAAATCATTGCTGGGATGTACAGTCGAAAGGGGCAATAATCAATTGGGTATGAAGTCGTTTTTTTTATTGGTTGTGTCCGTTCTATGTACATGTACTGTATGTGTGTTTGTGTTCACATGCCTTCCCATAGAGATAAACAGGGTCATGTTCCTCGGTTAGAGGTTACACATCTCTATCGAGCTGGTAGCTTGTACTAACTTAGCAATGAGTGTTATTGTGACCGTGTCTGTACAACATCACATCATTTTAAGGTGGCTCTAGGTTCACTCATCTGCTGCAAAACGCAAAAAACGGGGGGGAAAAGAAACCCCCGAGTCATCAGATGTGGAATCTGTCAAAGTGAGTCTGAAGCAAACTTCTCCAAAGAGCTGGAAGTGCACAGGCTGGTGATTTCTAACAACAACAACAAAAAAAGAATCGCAACTGTAACTGCTGGCTATGTAAAAACCAGTCTCACTGCAGCTACAACTCTACTACCAGCAGAGAGAGATTTGTGCTAGGAATCACCGGGCAGGCAGATGTTCTCTTCGAGGTTTCACTTTTGAATGAACATAAATGTAAGAGGTCAGCTGAGATTTGGGTATTTCCTTCGGGAAAATGTCGCGCCATTACTCCTCGTTGCAGTTATTTGTCGTTCTCCGTCAGATGAATGAGCTTTTCATTGTGCACTTCACTCCCACCAACAGAGCTCGATCCATCCTGGGCCAACCTCTGACTGTTACTGTGTCCTCTGTATATAGGTAATGCTGTTCATGTGTTTTTAGACGTGCTCTCTCTCTCTCTGTAAAGTGATCGAAGCCCCATTGGATGACGTACTGTACGTGGGACAATTTATTGCTGTATCTGTGTTTGAATGGTTGTACTTTGAAGGTGTCATCATCCAGGGATGGGCGGGGTGGGTTAGGGTTGATGTTTGTGATGTTTGTGTCCATCTCGAGGAGTAAGGGTGGGGTCGGGAGGGCTGGGGTTTATGGGGGTAAACTATCACAACTGGTCTATACCAAGAGTGTCTTCATCAAGGAAGTGGACAGGACAGGGTCTGTCCTCTTCAAAACAGGAACATTTTTTGCACCAAAGTCATCATCAAAGCGCAGCTTCTTCTTATTCAAAGTCACTACGGATGGATGATATCAGAACTCAAAGGAATTTTTTTTGTTCTTTTATTTTTAGAGACAAAGAAACTGTCTTTTTTTTGCATGATTAAGTGTCGTCTTTTTATTGGCTTGTGTGCCCGGTAAAAGCATGACCATTGTGTGAACTCTCACTTACCGGTGTGTTTGGAAAACGTTAAGGAAATTTCTCCATGAGATTTTTTACTTACCTCTTGACATGAACACTCATTGACATTCATAAATCAACTGTTTTACAATGTAGGGGTCCGTAACTGTTTGAAGGCTGCCTCGCATGCAGAAATGCAACTTGCAAGTAACCCATCAAACTTCAAACACAGTTACCATATCTGCATCTCTGTAAAACATCATGGATGTCAATGTCGATTATCACCTAGCTAGCTAGACATTGCAGTCTTGTAAAATCGCTCTTTATTAAAGCGTTGCTATTTTCAATACGTGTGTTTGAATGCTTGCTCCTTTTTCATACTATGCCAGCAGCATCATGAGAGGTCGTGATTGAAAGTCCAAGTACTGTAATACGTGTTTGGTCTGGTCCACATCGTGTGGTGTTCTTTGTGTTTGCCCAGTCTTGTCCTGTCTGTTGTCATAAACTAGACTTATCAGTTCTTAGTCACACCCTAAAGCACAGACCGGTTTCCTCTTAAGCCAGTCTTAAGTCCATGAGATGCTTCAAGTGTGTTTTGAACAATTTTGGAAAACTAGGACCAGAAATGTACAGATGTGGGGGTTGGGATTTGAGATCAATGGCATCATTTTCAGCCCAACTGTGTTAGTGCAGATAGGTAAATTAAGAATCTGTAGCATTACCCACATCTCTTGGTCATGTCTCTTTTTTCCCCTTCTAAGAATAGTTTATTAATATTATATTCTTCCTCACATTCCCTCTACCTCGCTATGGTAGATTAAGGGACACAGCATGAAGCCTTTGAGGCAAACTAATTGTAGTATTTTATCTGTGGTGGGACTTTCTGAAGCCCAATGAAATAAGGTTTGAAAGGCAAGGTTTTAGGAGAAAATTATTTGCTGTGACATCTTACCTTTCCATACAATACAATAAAAAGAAGAACCTCCACTTTCAGTGTACACATTTACCTACACTCTAATGGTGCACATTGGATTTGGAAGGTTAACACAATGTTTCAAAAGTGGATGCTTATATTAAACATGGGTTTCATAAAAATGAAGTGAGTGGCCAAGTCCCCCCACCTCTCTTAGATTGGAATAGTCACACAGACAATATTCATGCAATAATTGCAAGAAAATTCTTTTTTTTCTGAAACTGGAATGTTTATTGAACCTTCTGACAATTTTTTAAAAATCAATTTGCATTTGAGTTTGTATAATTTCTACTATGTCCATAATTTCTGTCCAATTTATTGCGCCATTTCATTCAGCTTTTTCAGGGAAAAAAAACAAAACACACTTATTCAGAAGTCACAAAAACCCATGTATCAAATAGGCATTATAGGGTTAATCTGGTCATCGCAGGAACAGTAAGGACAGCCAATCAGAATAAGACAGCTTTAAAAGGAAATGAGCTAAAAAGGTTTGTTGTAGACACAGGATGGACTGAGAGGCTTTAACTGAACTGCGAATTGTGCTAAGCTACCCTAGAAAAGAATGAATATACAGAAATGAAAAATAAACACTATGGGTCACCTTTAAAGAGTATGTTTAACAATGGGCATTGCCCAGAATGGAAAATTCCCCAATTAAATTATTTACTGACTGCACACTCAACACGAAACAAGTGTTTGTATTCATTAGTGAAGCTACTTCATAAACTAATCTGGCTGATGGAGGCATTTGTTACCAGAGTAGAAACTGCTGCATATCCATACCATTATTCCAATGAATGGTGCATGATGTCTCTGCAGTTTCCCCTTCACTGTTCCACCTTTGCCCATTTACGTACACAGGCCTACTCCTCGTGTTACCTCAGTATATTTGTGTATACTGCTTTCACTACACCCATGCAGTACTGTAGTGTCCATTTGTAAACTTAATTGCTGTTGAGGGCATGAAACTCAGTGAGTATCCATGAAAAGGTCTTGTTTGCAGGTGGAAGTCCGATACCTTCAACTACTTCTTTTGTATATTAAAAACGACTCAATTATCAGGTTTGGATTGTTATCAGAGTATTGGTTTTTATTTGAAAAAGCATAGATTGATGTTTTTGGGAAAAAACTGAATAAAATGTCATCTGACGCTGAGCCCTGAAAGTTTAAATGGCAAAACCCGCCAAGCTTTCTGCATCTTCAAATATTCACACAGAGATTGTTTCATTCAGTTGAAATTCATTTTATTGATAATTAAACATTTGAAAGAACATAGGACAAAATGTAATTTAAAACAACATGGTCGCATCCGTGTTCATCGTCATTCATACAAGTTGAATGCGGCATCAAAAATCGTTTTCAGACGGGGGGAGTCGAGCGTTGAACCAGCAACCGATCCTGAGCCAGGTTATTCAACTCTGAAGTGGAGGCCCTACCACTGTGCTCTTACGCAAGGCACTTAACCCCCGAAGAGGCCGCAGGGGCGCTTTTAGAAAAACTAAGACAACCCATCGATCTAAATGTCCCCGACTCTGGCTGTGGTGCTCTTCGGTGATAGGCTGAAACAGGACGTACTTACAACAACATGCCTGCTGCAGAGTGTGTTCAGATTTAGACTAAAGGTGGCACAGATGTCCTTAAAAACTTGTGTGAGAGTGGTCACATTAGGAGCAGGAATGTATGAGCAGAGAAAACTTGTTGAGGGGAGGAGGGAGGGGAAATGTAAGGATTTTAACAGGAAAATT